TTTTTTTTTTGGCTACATTTTTAAAAATATTTTCCTACATTCTGTTAATATTTTGAAATATAATTATTTCTGTACATATAATAAATATATTTGTGAACATTTCATTAACATCTTCCAACGTTTTATTGAGATTTTTGGAAAACGTATAATTTATTTATCATTATGGGTTTTTTTTTTATAATAGATGTTTTATTTCATTTAATCTCTTCTGGCGTTTCCTCATATTCCTCATAGGTCACATCCAGGAAAAAGAAAAGAGTATAATAATATAAATTGTAGATAAAATAAACAAGAAAATAAATAGAGGATAAAATTATTAAAATCAAAAATAAAAAAAAAAAAAAATCAATCACTATTTCCTATTATTTGTTGTGTGCTACGTTCTGCTCAGTTCTTCTGCTTAAGTCAAGGCTAAAATAATGACGTCTGTGGTGTTTTTACGGCTGTCAAGATGTCAAAACGGGTCAAACTTGACCCAACACAGTCTGTACGGGTTAAAAGGAACTAAAACAAAATAAAGGTTCTTGTACATGTTGACATGTTTGGCAAACAGCAGCTTCAAATGAGGACAAAAGAAAAGACAAAACAAAAAAAAGTGAAACAAGACCTCTGCTCAGTGACGGCGCTGAACCGAGTCCAGACGAGTGTTTGTGCAGAACTTTACTCACCACAGATGTTCATCACAGCCTCTGTGTTAAAATCATCTCCTTCCATCCACTCTTGAGCCCTCAACTGTGAAAACACACACACACACACACACACACACACACAGATGCATTTTATTCCGACGCTGTGTGAAAAAATCCAAAACACTGAGCGACAACACGGTTACTGTTGCCTGGACACACAAACACGCCTCCATCTAGGTCAAGTGTGGAGGCGGCAGAAACAGGAAGCAGCCATTGTGTCGATGAGAGCGCGTATAGGAGCTCGTCACAGCTGTCGCCTCGCGGCCAGATGTAGGTCGCATCGGATCGCTTTACGTGATGACACATATGGTTCTGAACGGGCCGCGACCAGCGAGTGAAGTCGACTCGATGGAAGATAAAGATATAAAAATAAAAGGTACCGACTGTTAGAATAACCAGCTTTTGTTTCTATCAGTGTTAAACAGACTCAGCGGTGAAACTAATTTATGGGCTCCAGACTAACTTTTACTAACTTTTTACTCTTATCAACAGATGGCAGGATTTACAGACGGTCCCTGAACGCCTCACAGGTTGCTGTAGATGCTGTCTGGTGGCTCAGGTGTTTCTCAGGTGTTATCAGACAGGTGTGTGAGTGAAAACAACTTTGAAAAGAGTAAAATAAGGTGTTCTGGTTGAAAATGAGTTGTGTTTTCTATTGGCTGAGGTTGTTTGGAGCAGAGCAGTCGATCATGTCTATTTAAACTCTAAAGACCAGAGATCTTGTTTGATATGCTTTTTTTTTTTTTTTTTTTTTTTTAAATCTTTGTTACTTCATCAGATCAAATAGCAAATGAAAAATATAAAGAAAATAAAAATATATTTAAAATATATAAAAAATGATTTTAAAAATAATATTTAAAAAATGGAAAAAATAAAGAAAATAAAAACATATTTAATATATGTAAAAAATATTTTTTAAATAAATATAAAAAATATAAAGAAAACAAAAATGTTTCTAAAATATATTTAAAAAATTGTACAAAAAATGTAAAAAATTAAAAAATATAAAGAAAATAAAAATATGTTAAAAAATACATTTAAAAAACTAACTACTGTATTAATATAACCCAAAATGTAACGTCCACGTCAGGTCTTAAGAGGATAATAATTAGCGGTGAAATACGATTGAAAAAAAATTATCTAACTAATTAGAATTAATTATTTAATCTCGATTTATTGCATTTTTAGTGTTAATAATAGTAATTTTAATATTAATATTTAACACAATAAGCAAAAGTTTTTCAGTTCAAATAAATGTTGGTTGACGACTGCATCATTCAACAAACGACAACAACAATGTTTATATAATGTAAAATTTATATAAATGTAAATATGTCTCATCCGTCTGCTACATTCACAGATTAACTCAAAGTGAATTACAGCGATTATATTCAACATTTTAAGGTTTTTTGTCTTATTGTTTCAGAACTCATCCGAGCTGCCTCGTGCTACGGGATCCGTCTATTTCTCTGTATGTAAAACTCCCGGCGTCGTGTTCTGGAGCCACGAGGCAAAGCGTCGCCCTCATTTGCATAAAGTCGACTCAACTTTCACGTTATGCAAATTTGGTAAATTTAGGCCAAATCGTCCCTGTGGACTCGAAGCCTCAGGCCTCGGTAAGAAAAACAAGTTCCCACCGACACCACTCGGTGCATCTTCTTGAACTTTTAGGTGCGTTAGCGCCACCTAGTGGCCGGAGTGTCTGTAGCAATGTTCGCAGTGTGCAGTTAAATGCGCTATTTTTTTTGTTTATTATTTTTCTGTAATTACTGCGCTAAAGTTCCAGCCCCAATAATAATAACAATAATAATAATGTTAATTTCATGAATACAGCGCTACTACTGTCTTAGCTAGCTGGTGTTGGCATGTATTCCATCGTTTCTCATTTTTATTTTGATTTTTTTAATATACCGAGCAACAGACCACGTCATTTGTAAGCTAAACAGGCTTGAAGAAAAAAAGCCAATTTACAACTGCAAAACTCTGAACAGAACCTCGTCAGAGTTAGCGATGCAGCATCCATTACCGTGACGACAAAGCAGGTTAAAACGGAGCCGCGTTAGCTGACCATCTTAATCATCGAGCTATTTTCCCATCGAGGTTTCTTGTAGAGTTTTTAAAACAGATGCGCTAATAGGCAGCGCGATTTAAATCCCAGGTTTCACATCGTTCCACAGCGGCAAAAAACATGCTAACGGCTAACAGAGGAAGCCTGAACACAACTATGACCTCTAAAGAAACGCACTGATGGTGTTTGTTGGACTCAGAGACAGCTTCTGGTCGACGTGTTTACTCAGTTAAAGCTGTGACAAAGAGGAATTTTAAATATTTACTCAGTTTGACGTTTTTATTGCTCTTTTTTCTGCACCTGCTCATATTTTTAGATTTTTATTTTGTAAAATTTGACACTTTAAAAAGGTGCATTTTTCACATCAGAATTTGTATTTTTATTCTATTTTAAATGACTTTTTGCTTGGAATCTCTCCAAATCCTTTCCTTGCGGTACTTTTCCTCGCTCATTTGCTCGTTAACTGGTCGTTAAACGTCCACACAACCTGCTAAAGTGGAAGTAAAGTCGATAAAGCACACGACTCGGGCCGGTTCAGATTCACCTCTGACACCTGAGTCGGGCCGGCGGAGAGCGGAGCTCAGGTTACCTGGATAGGAAACTGGAACAGGCCTCCTGGACGGGCCCGGTGTCGGTCGGTCGGATCAGTCCGGTCCGCTCCGTTCTGATCTGGTCCTGGTCTGGTTCGGTTCGGCCTGGCCTGGGTTCATCCGGTGTGGCTGCGGCTCCGGCCCGATGTGATCCGATCCTTAGGCAGCTGCTGCGATCCGTCTACCTCTGCAGAAAGACGAGGACGTGGAGATCAATCTTTCACCATCTACAGAAGTCACAACAGGATTACGCGAAGACGCTCGAACGCAACATGGCGCCGGTGACATCGCGTTTCCACGGCGACACCGAAGCTCGCTGCTCATCGACGCTAGCCACCATTTATCGTCTCATTGTGTCTCGTTTCTTACAATTTGTCTCGTTTTGTGTCTCATTTTATTGTGTTGTTTGTCATTTTTTTGAACTCATTTTTCTTCTCATTTGTTGTCAATGTTTGTCTTGTTTTTCATCTTATTTTCTTTTTTTTTGTGGAGTTGTTCTCATCCAGTGTCTTGTTTAATTTTTCTCATTTTGTGTAAAATTTTTTACAATTTGTCTCGTTTTTGACGCTTTCGTGTCTCATTTCTCTCATTTTGTTTCGTTGTTCTCATTTGGTGTCATTGTTTTTGTTGCTTTTCATCTTATTTTCTCTTTTTTTTGGTGAGTTCTCTTCTAGTGTCTTGTTTTGTTCATTTTCTATGCAATTTATGTCATCTATGGTCTTGTTTTTTAATTTAGTGTCTTGTTTTTCACCACTTATCTAGTTTTTCTTGCTCTGTTTCATTTTTCTCCATTGGTTTTATTCTTCTCATTTTGCATCTTGTTTTGCGTCTCATTTTTCATATTTCATTTTGTCGTTCTCATTTTCCGTCTTGTCGTTTTTTGTTTTGCATCTCGTTTTTCTCGCTCGCGTCTGGTTTTTCTATTTTTTTTGTTAAGCTGGTCTCATCTCGTGTCTCATTTACATCATGTATCATCATGTTTTTCCTCATTTTGTGTCTCACTTTTCTCATCTTGTGTTTTGCTTTTGTCATTTTCATTTTTCATCTTCATTTCATGCCTCATTTTTCTTTTGTGTCTTCTTTTTGTCAGATGGCGTCTCTTTGTCTCCACCTACTACAGGTATTTCCATTTTTACAGCCTCCACTGACGTTTTTCACTTTACAAGAAGTCATGTTGGTCCTGAACGAGCTTTAAGTGAGCGTCTGATATAAAAGTTCGAAGCCTAAATGCTTTCCTTTCTCGTCTCCGTCTGGTTTTTTGAACGCTGCTGAGAAACGGCTGCTTTTAAGAGGCTCCGGTACCGACAGCTCAGCAGGTTCGCTTCACTCCAACCTGTCAAGACTTCTGTTCTCTCACAGTTTTAGAACGTTTCAGTCACGCTGCTTTAGTTTTAGGTTGCAGGGAAACGGCTGCAGGTCTCTGATAGAGCTGGAAGCACCATCACCATCTGTTACCACTGCTTTTAGATTACTGGTAACCCAAAAAGACCAATAACCGATATTTGGAACTGATAGATATTAAACGTTTTAACAGCATGTGATGTTTCTCATTTATTATCTCGGTTTCTTCATGAATAAGGGTGAGATTTATATTTATAGCGGTTAGCTGTTAGCATAGCCTTAGCCACTGCGAGAGAAGCTAATTTCCTGATTTGTGGCGACGACTCGTGTTTCTCGTTCAGTGATTTCAGATTTTTATTTTGTTTTAGAGACAGACATGCACGACCTTCTGCTTCTGCCACATTATTATTGAACATATTCTCAGTTAAATTAATAAATTAGTCAAGACCATCCATACTTTGGCAACTCCAAGACAGCTAGCTTTGTAGTCACACTATTTAATTAATCTAAATTAGCTTTTTATTTGGAGCAGCTTGGATAAATTATTATTTTTTTGTTTAAGCTGCATCCAGCTCCTTTTAAATGAGCTGAACTGTATAAATATTAGGGGTGCACGACCAAAATAATAATCAATAGTTATTTTTGACCACTTTTAAGCCCACAATTGAGACAGAATGTGTTTATCGTACTTTCACATGCACGACTTTCTTCTCCTGCCTCATTGATTACATGTATTTTTAATTGTTGACGCCTCTAGTTTGCAATCAGTTAAATAAAAAGTTCACGTCGAGAATTCTGAAGACTGAACATTCCTGAGAAAAAATTAAAAATAAAAAAAAAGGCAGCTGACAAACGGCTGGTTTAAATCAAACACTTTGGCGGCTCACCTCAGCGCTCAAAGTGCAGCGACGGCAAAAAAAAACGCGAAGCCGAAGGCAGCCGGCAGCAGAGTACTGGGTCAGGACAGGCTTCATGAGCTCTTTTACTGGGACAAAGCTTCAGGCTAGGAGGGGGAAAACCACTATGTCATGATTGAACGCTGAAAGGAACCGGTGCTGGAGTGGAAAGTGGGTCAGCCAGTCTCTATGGTCTCAAACCAGCCAGCCTCAGTTTCCATCCACCACCTACTTCTACTTCATCAGTGAGTCAGCAAGCCATTCAAGCTCCGCTCCCTCCCGGTTTTTACACTCGACACCCACCCGGGAAGCAGCCGGCAAGCCCGTTCAGGAAGCAGGGAGGCATCCAGGCATCCAGGCAGCAAGTCAGCGGCCAGATCCCCCCGAATGGCTCAGGAAAGGTGGAACCGGAGCGACAAAACCGAACAAAAACTGTGATTGAAGGCGATGGGGTGGCGCTAAATGGATGTTCTGTGCAGCTGGCATCTCTGGAAATTAGACTTCAGACTCGAGTACAATAAATGTTTTTTATAGGTTGCTGAAAATTAAGTTATTAAATTTAAAAAAAAGATCATTTATATGGATACCGTTTTGTACACTGAGCTTTATTTAAGTGCAAAAAAAGCTTCTACTTTAACACAGATTATACCAAAAATCGCAGGTGACAGGTGAGTTTTAAGGCCGTCGTTTTAAACTGAGCAACATAATGGAAATTATCCTAATATAGGACTAAACCGGGCTCATTTTTCTGTCCACTGGGAGGGTTGTTCTTTTATTTTCTTAATTTTTTCCTTATTTTGAAAACAAAAGTCAACATTTCAAAGCTCGAAAAGAGTTTTGGAAGAAGTTCGTTGCATCGTCGCTCCCTAAAGTAGCGCCAAACACGAGATAAACTGAAAATTAAAAACAGCAATGCAACTTTTAATGACTTTTTTTTAAGTCGGGGTTTAATTTTCTAAAGCTTAATGCACATTTTTGTTCGAGAAAAGCTGAAAAAATAACAAGAAAACGCACTGATAATGTGCACATCCAACCTATTCTGAGAATTTTTCTGTACAATAAATGAATAAATAAAATAAAAAATAGAGGCAACCGCAGCAACATTTGGTTCAAAAATGATAAATTCAACACAATAATCAAGTTTAATGCGTTTTTCTTAAAGCTGCACTTAAAGAGATGAACTTTAATTGATCGTAATCACCTGTTTAGGTTTCACAGCCTACAATCTCCACCTGCGACTCAGCGTTTTGAGTTTTTTGTTTTAAACAGAGGAATTACGAAACAACTTCCTGCTGCCAAACAATGGACTCGTTTCTTGCCGGGTGATAAGAAAACACAAACTGGTTTCACGCCGCAGAACTAAACCCGGGTGTCATGAGGAAGTGTTAGGGCGCATACCGGAGCTGGTAATTCACACTAAAAAAAAAAAAAAAGAAAAAGCTCGACTGGGCGTTTTCACAGCGCGACACTCTGCACGCTGTATATGTGGTGGTATCCAAACATCTGGCGTGTTCTCGGTGGAGTCCAGCAGCTGCAACACCTCCGCTACCAACAAGGAACACTAAATAAAAACCCAGCTAATGTAGATTTTACAACAAATCTGATTAATCTGGATTGTTGCTCGAGCGATCCAGTGATTTTTGTTTTTTTTTAAAATTCCAGGCGTTTATTTCTATTCCTGGTAATCGTCGGTGTGAACTGCCGTGTGTGTGTGTGTGTGTGTGTGTGTGTGTGTGTGTGTGCAGGGATTAGACGTAAGTGCTTCGGTTAGGGAGTGTTTGCTTTGAGTCACGGCGGCCCCGCAAAACCGTGACGCCATCAGAAAAAGTTCCATTCACACCGTAAAGCCGCGCACGATGACCGAGCAGTTAACGAGAGAGTGCAGATGTTTGACGCTTCCACGGCGACGGGATGAATTTTTACAGCGCTTAATTGTAAACAAAAAGGTGAAAATGAGCCTTTAGGAGCAACTCTGGCTCATTTACGGTGCGTTTTCTGTTCGCTGAGGCATTTAAATGACGATAAACTGACGCGATTAATGCATTTATACGTGAAAATGTGTGTAATTACGAAGCGGTGCAGGGTTTTTCATTAATCTTGCTCGACTGGTTTGCACATGTTGGCCTAAAAAAAAGTACAAATGTGACTTTTGTAGTCTTATTTTGAGAAACAAGACAACATGCATGATGAATTTTACAGCTGTTATTTTAAAAACAAAAGGTACAACAGATGAAAATTAGCTTGAAAGACCAACTTTGGCTCATTTATGATCTGTTTTCTGTTTTCTGAGGTATTTAAATGACGATAAACTGACGTGATTAACGCACTTATAAATGAAAATGTGTGTAATTACGAAGCGGTGCAGGGTTTTTCATTAACCTTGCTCGACTGTTTTGCACGCGTCAGCCTAAAAAAAAGGCACAGATATGACATTATTAGTCAACAAGACATCATCGCAGGTGCGTGATGAATTTTGCGGCTGCTATTTTAAAATAAAAAGTTGAAAATGAGCTCATCAGACTGAACTCTTTCCGGTCACTGACGGGGTTTTAGCCAGCACTCTGACATTAAACCGAAATTTATTTTAAATCATGCACAATGACAAAGTGGTTGTTTGTTATAAGCAGGAGATGCGTTCACAGTTCAGTCTATTTATGCGCACTTTTTATATTTATATATTGAAAGAAATAAAAGAATAAAAACACGACGGAAACTAGTCGACATTTTGTGCAAGAAATCTCCAGTTTATCAGAGCTTCGTTCACTGTGGGATCCTTTAAAAAGTGAAACGCGTCTCCATTTAGCCCACATCACCTGCGCCACAGGTGTTTTCCTTCACCCCGTATGATAAGACGTGTGCTCGGGCTGCACCTGGGTGGAGCTGTGCCGGGAATTACGGCGAATGGAGGTCATCCAACTCCTGATACCGGCAATCAGAGGGAGGTGGAGGT